CGTCCATCCCGCGCCGCGGGAGCGCGCCCACGGTGATCCCAGCGCCCGGGAACCGCCGGGAAAACCTGCGGGGATAAACCGGGATGAACTGGGATGAACCGGGATAAACCGGGAATGGAACCGGGATAAACCAGAATGGAACCGGGAACCGCCGGGAAAACCTGCGGGGAAACACCGGGATGAACCGGGATGAACTGGGATGAACCGGGATAAACCGGGATAAACCGGGAATGGAACCGGGATAAACCGGGAACCGCCGGGAAAACCTGCGGGGATAAAGCGGGAAAAACCGGGAAAAAACCGGGAAAAACCGGGAAAAAAACCGGGAAAAAACCGGGAAAAAAAACCGGGAAAAAACCGGAAAAAAAACCGGGGAAAAACGGGGAAAAAACCGGGAAAAAACCGGGAAAAACCGGGATTTTCCCGCCGGGAATTTCCCCCGAAAATTCGGGATTCGCGCCGCTTTCATTTGGATTTTTCCCGGCGGGAATGGGATCCGAAAGCCGCCGATATTCCCGGTTTTAACTCGGTTTATTCCCGGTTTTCCGAAAGCCGCCGATATTCCCGGTTTTAACTCGGTTTATTCCCGGTTTTCCCCCAGTTTATTCCCGGATTTTTCCCAATTTTTCCCCGATTTTTTGCAATTTTTTTCCCAATTTTCCCCCGATTTTTCCCAGCATTCCAATCCCGTTTTTCCTCCTTTTCCCCCCAAGAAACCCCGGGAACGCCGCTGGGATCGGGGATTTTCTGGAATTCATCACCGGAATTCTTTTCTTGGTTTTTCCCACCCAGAAATTCCCTTTTCCCGGGAAAAGAACGGCTCCGAATTCCCGCCGGCATTTCTCCCGGGTTCTTTCTTTTCCCGCTTTTTTTCTCTTTTCCCGCTTTTTTTCTTTTCCCGCTTTTTTTTTTTTTCCCCCGGATTTTTTTTGCTTTTCCCGGGTTTGTTTTTCCCGGTTTTTTTCCTTTTTTCCCGATTTTTTTTCGTTTTTCCCGGGTTTCTTTTCCCATTTTTCCCGGGGTTTTTCCCGGTTTTCCCCGGGATCTTTTCCCGGTTTTTCCCGGGTTTTTTTCCCGTTTTTCCCGGGTTTTTTCCCCGGTTTTTCCCGTTTTTTTTCCCGGTTTTTCCCGGGTTTTTTTCCCTGTTTTTCCCGGTTTTTCCCGGTTTTTCCTGGTTTTTCCCGTGTTTTTTTCCCGTTTTTCCCGGGGTTTTTCCCAGGTTTTTTCCCTGTTTTCCCCCGGTTTTTTTCCCGGTTTTTCCCAGGTTTTTTCCCCGGTTTTTCCCGGGTTTTTTTCCCTGTTTTTCCCGGTTTTGCCCGGGTTTTTTTCCCG